ATAAGAAACATACCAGAAGTAAGCAAAGCATACAAGAAATTAGAACATAAATAGGAAAGATAGAGGAGAAAAAGGCAGTTTAGGAGATGTAAGGAAGTGTAATAGAAAGAGAAGAGAAAGAATAAACTGCTCTATCATGAAAAGTCTCATGCTAAAGGAAAGTGGGAGAGCAGTAAACTGTAAACAATATATAAACCAAACATTTGCTACTGCTGTAACAAAAAGAATGTGAGATGTCTATATTTAATCCAACATGACGTACAGCACCCTTGCAATGTTTTAGGAAACACCAGAAGTTTAAAGTAGGATTGAGGAACAAGAAAAAAACTTAACACTGTTAACATTATGCTGTTAATCCATCCTCTGGGTCAGTTAGAAGCAATTATGCTCAAGGGCAATCTAGAAAAAGTTCAGGATAGTCTTTTAGTTCCCAATTTACATCATGTTGTGTTTAAAACAAAACAGAAAATCCTCAAATACTAAATGAAGAGCAGGACTGTCGGAAAAGGATGATACAAATATTTTTACAGAAAAGCTCTCCATTACACACCAGTACATCCACCACATCACACACCAGTATGCCCAGGCTAAACACAGATGCTGCTTTCACTACTGACTCACCCTGACAAGCTACAGCACCACTGAAATAACTGACAGCACCAGCCTGAGGGCTTCTGGATTTTGTATTTCTTTCAATATGTTCAACTGTGTAGCACCAAACTCTCACTGGAACCACGGTGACGTCACTTCCTAACTCATAAGGTTAACATCCAGTGTTAACCTAAAATTGTCTTGTTATCTATTAAAAAGAAGTATTCAAGTACTAGAGAAAGGTATACTGAATTTTCCTTCTTAAGAGTCTTAAAATCCAAAAATGTAAGATGGTATTTGGTGCCTGCTTGCTTAGGATAAACAAAATAAAGCATGATTACGCTTTAAGATTCCTAGGGTGGAAAGGGACATTTTAAAGAATTTAGTTAAAGAAGGATAGCAGAATGCATTTCCCTTTCTTCCTATCAGACAGCTTTTTCAATGAAAAAAATTAAGAAACAGACTATCTGAAATTCTGTGGCATATCAGAACTTGAAATTTCTTCCTCCCTAGAGATATTGCCCTCTGGAGACAGGAAACACACACTGGCTCTGGACTTGGCACAGATCTTGGAGAAAAACCAACATCCCCTCTCCACCAGCTCAAAACACTGGAGGGAAAAAACACCCTTTTTTTCTTTCTCCAGCTCAACATTTTCTAGAATCCCTTCCTCTCCTGCTGTTCCTCTCTGAAGAGCTAAAGCACGTGGGTAAATTTAAAGCACGCAGCAGTATCTAATTTAGAGCACAGCCTCAGCACCACCAGGCAGTCCCAGACACGAAGGCCAGCATCAGCCAGTCACACCTTCACTGCACCAAAGGGGACAGGGGCTGAACATCACTGCTGTACCTGCTGGGCTTTGAGAACAAAACCCTTCCAGCAGTGTTTTGGGAAGTCTCTGGTGATGCTGGCTCCAAAAAGCTGCTGGAGGCACTCAGCTCCCTCCCTCTGGTAGGTGCAATGCTGGCACGTTCTCTCATCTGGAGTGGACAAACCTCTGCAGATGAAGGTCAGCCACTCTCTGTTCTCCACAGAAAACACAGCAAGGCAACAAGCCACACAGAAAATCCAAGTCTGGTAAACACTGCTTTTCTCACCTTGGGCATCTAAAACATGTGATGTGCACAAAGGTAAGAGGCAGTGCACGGAAGCCTCTCAGTGTTGCTCCTTGAATGGGCTTCACATGGTAGGAAACAAGAGCCAGAGCTCCAGAGACAAGTCAGCTGAAAGGGCAACACAGGCAGGCCCAGGGGAGAGATCAGTCCCACAGGCCAGGGGAGCCTGAGGCCCACAGGATGTGCCTCATTCTTTCCCAACTTACTTTTAAAATGCTATAAGGAGGACGAAAAATCCAATTTTTTTTTATTCTGCAGCACAAGACACTTGTTTTATCTCACTAAAATTAAAGTTACCAAAAGATAAGTTATTCAAACCACTATTCTGAGACAAGAAAAACAATTTTTCAGATTTATCTACTATTTTCATAAAAATTCACAGCTATTACTTGACACTTATTGAGTAACATTAATTTGAGATATTTTAGAGTCTAGCAATTAAGAAAAAGAAGGATGTTATTCCTTTCCATTGTTATCAAGTTCAATTGGTTCTGGAGACTGCTCTTTGACAACCCATCAGCTCACAGGCTCTGTTCTGCTCTTCCAAAAACACTGGGGGGAAAAAGCCACTTCAAGAATATCGTGGAGTCTGCTCTGCCACTGTATATCCACGTGCTTTAGCCCCTCTGCACTTATATTCCTGCTATGGGCACCACCAAGGCAACTCAGGTTCTGTTAGTCCTTAAGACAGCTGGTTCTGCTCCCTAGAACTGAATCATCCAAGTCAGGTTTTGTACTCTGAACTTGCAGAAAATGGCATTTGAAACACATCTCTGCAAAGGTGATAAAACACCAAAAGCTGTTGGCCGAGATCAGACACAAGTGGGAACCTGCACCTCCTCTGATTTTAAATTACAGCTAGAAATGTAGAAATGGAAAAAAAAATCAATTATAAGGAGTCAGTTTTATATTCACCTGAGGATGGGATCACCTGTGATTCCAAAATCTTTGCAAATACAGCAGCACTCCAGTGTGTCACCTCAGAGACTGTTCTGATGTCACACTCCAGTGGAATTAAGAGAAAAAATGCAGTGTATCATGACATACTCAGGTTTCTGGTACTAAGACACAGCAAGCAATGGTTAAGGGCAGCAAGGCATGTGTCCAAACAGGTCTGGCATGAGATGATCCTGAAGATCAGTGAGATCAGCCAAGAAACTGGTTCTTTACAAACACAAACCGGTCACAGGTTAAGATCAGAAAAATCAAGTGACCCAAGTGACAGAAAGACCACGACAAACTGAGTACAGGGATACTCCTACAGCTGAATCTCAGCTAAATCCATAACTCCCAAAGCCCCGGCACGGTCTCTGCAAATTGTTCCTAGACTTGAGAACAATCGTTCAGCTGAAATGACTTAGGTCAAAGAATCAGGACTTGGCAGCATTTTAAGGATGAAAGAAACCAAAATGCAATCTCTGGTTTTGCCTTGGACTAATTGCCTGGACTTCCTGAAGAGAAGGAGCAGTAAAAGGGCACCTCTGTTCAAGCCTGTCACAAAGCCAGCAGCGGTGTTTACAGCAAACTTCAGACAGAGCCTGGTGGTAGCCAGCCAAAAAGGCCACAGCTGTGCAACACTGAGGGGAGGGATCCTGGCTGCAGGGACAGCACTGGCATTCTGGGATGTGGCCCCATGGCAACGCGTTTAGGAGAGGACTGACTACCAGAATGGCCAATAACTCCTGCTCTCCAGGCTCAGGCCATGTTCCCTGTGCCACGTTCACTGTCTGGAGAGAACAAACAGGAAAGCCATGACTGACAGCAGGTCTGCTCACTCTGCAGAGGGGGGAAACTAGGGGAGCCTATTAAGTGCTTTAACTTCTCTCTGCTGCACGCTACACACTCCCTCAAGAGGAAGATAAAGAGAAAAATCTTTGCAGCCAGTGTTTTTAAAGGAATTGAAATAACTTGGCCTAGATGTGTAATTTTGTAGCTCATTTTACAGAAAAATAAAAGAAATGGCCTTAAGATCATGTTTTTAAAGAAAGACTACTTCTCATTAGGACACTACTGGAGTAGGGACACTACAGGAATACAAACATCAACTATCAGTGACAGGGATCAGAAGTTCTGAATCCCATTTCCAGGAAGTGACTATGAATGACAGGGATCAGAAGTTCTGAATCCCATTTCCAGGAAGTGACTATGAGTGACAGGGATCAGAAGTTCTGAATCCCATTTCCAGGAAGTGACTATCAGTGACAGGGATCAGAAGTTCTGAATCCCATTTCTAGCTTCACATTCTCCACAAAATCTCGATCTCACCAGCAGGTCTCAAAAACATACTACTCAAACATCACTCTGGATTTTTTTTCACTAAGTTGACCGTTATCCACTGTCATGGGTATGGGTAAACAGGTAGATTCAAAGGAATTAACAATTAATTCTCTAACACACCTGGAAATCACGTACTGTACCTATTTAACCTGCTGCACAATCGTGTCAGATTTTCAATTAATTCAGTTGAGTCAGATTAGAAAACCTGTGACCAGACACCAGCGCTTTCTACAGGACAAAACATGGTTTGTATGAAAATATTGTTTGCAAAAAAATCCCTCTTGTGAATAAAAGAGGCTGGCTGTAGTGGAAGGCCAGCTTTGCTAGGGTGTACCAGAAGGGTGAAGGACAAGTGACATTGTCCTCCTGGGTTGCCACAGTGGTGGGAGCCCCCTTGCACCACATTATTCTGGTTCTGAAGGTCACACTATGCCTATCACAACTTCGAGTGCTGTGCCTGAACATGTATTAAAATATTCCATACTAATGAAGCAAAGAATTAATGGTTTGCAATTTAGGGCTGGGGGAAGGTTAAAGTAAAAAAAAAAAAAAAATAGGGAGGATTTTGTTTCCTAAGCAGGAAAGTCTACATTAATAATTTTCCCAGCAGGCCTTCAGTAGTTTTACTGCAAACAACCACAGCCTTTGTTTCTCAGATCCTCTTACATGTGACGTGCGATCAAAGCCCTCACATCAGCAGCTCACCAAGGGGAAAAAAAAGAAGTGTGAACTACTCTTGGGTTCCAGAGCTGTCCTCAGAGTTGGTTTAGCAGTGCAGCTCTGCAGCCACTCAGCTAAAGCACAACCCAGTAACTCTTCTCATCAGAGAAGCGAGAGCTTCAGTGAAAGCGGCTCCCTTTGCCACAGCCATCGGTGAGCCACCTAATCTGCACTGTTCACTGCTGGGCTTTCCAGAGCCCCGGGACTGATTCCATGTTCCCACAAAGGAGCAGCGTGGCCATGGCCAGGTCTGTGTTTCTGGGCAGCAGGAGGTGTTCAGAACCCCCTCCTGGTAACGCCACCGCTCCCGCAGCTCGGGACCAACCCCCGGGGAACCAGTGGCACTGCAGAGCAGCAAGGGAGACACAAGAGTTCCTCTCCTCACCTAAACAAACTGCACTTGACACTGGTTAGAGAGAAAGTACCAGAGAACAGTGTGTGGCTTTTCAGCAGCAATATAGGAACTTCTCCGCTCAACTTTTCCAAGAGAATTTTGGCCTTTTCAACTTCCCTGTAAAGCTTTAGGATTATACAAACCTAAAAAATGATCTTGATGAAGGAGGTGAGGGGGAAGGCAGCCCTTCTCCAAGTAAGTGTTGGAGGATTTCTCCTTGGCTGCTAAGGGTTTGTGTTGGGTAAAGAAAGGCTCCTAACAAACCAGCATTCTTTTCCACATGATCAGAGCTAACCGGCCCCCCTGCAGGCAAAATGACCAATCAAATCAGCTTCAGAGGAAAACCAGCCCCCCAGCACTATAAACACAGGAATGAGACATACAAACCCATTTTTAAAGGGTTTTGGTGGGTTTTTTTAAATCTCTGCCAGCCACTTGTGGGAAGTTTCTTGCCAGTGGTGGGACCAATACACCAGAGCAGCCCAGTCCCTCTCCTGGAGCCCAGGTTACCCCTTCCTCCTGCACACAACCCTTCAAAGACTGGTAAGTAAACAAAACCATATTTTTCTCCCCTTTTACTTATTGTACCATTTGAAATTGTTCTGTCATTCTTTAATCAAAGAAATCGAAGTAGTTATCAGGGGAGAGTGTTTTATTTCTAAAGCGTGCTGAATTAACTATTATCTTAAAGAAAACTATTTGATTTCTCCCCCTCAAAAAGAAGAAAATGCATTCTCAGGTGACCACGGTCCTAAGAGCACAAAAAGCAAAATCAAAGGCATCATACAGTATTCTTTCAGAACATTTTTGAGAGAAGCAGTGCTGGAAAGACTCTGCAATGCTCTGCAGACAGGGAGCATTTGCAAGTCTCCAGCTCAGGTACCTGGGTGTTATGAGACTGGTCAAGTGTCAGGAAAACGTCCTCCCCACCTTGCTGCATTCATCATAACTCAGCATTTCACTTCAGTTGTCTCACAAATTAAAAGAAATGAGCTTCCTACCTGCTCAAGCCTGATTTACCATCCCTGTATCTTACACCTTCAATAGTTTTCAGTGTGTCCATGAGCACAGGGATGCACTGACTGAGCCAGCACAGGAAACCACACTTGGGTATCGAGGGAACTCATCCTGCCTGGAAAACCAGTCCTTGCAGGCAAGCCATGGGGAATTCTGCATCAGACAGGGCAGGACTGCTCCTCCAAAACAGCTCACTCCACACTGTATGGGTGGCTGCAGACTTCTAGTGCTACAGCTTCACATCAAATACAATCCTCCCTCCTAACTGTCAAATGACTCCTCCATTGGCAATATTTCACTTGGCATTTTTGTTTCTTTATAAGGAGTTAACACGTGCTAGCATATTTTAAAGCCTTTCCCAAAACGTTAAGTTTTTCTGCTTCTCTAAAGGTGGCCAGACTAGTTGGTCCTCTCAGATGCTACCTCATAATCAAGAATTAAGTGTTCATATGGGTCCTCAGAGTACTACCATGAAAATACATTATACACAAAATGGAGCATTATTTGGATTCCCAAAAATCAAGTCTATAGGCAGCCTTGTTTTCTGTACTATGAAGGGAGACATAGTCTCCCACTATTCTTTAAAGTGCATTCTCAGAAAGTCAAAAGTATGAGCTCTCACACCCTGGACTTTGTGGCACTTGCTTTGAAAAATGTGGCTTGGGCTCAACAAATTCAAGTTCCCATTTTTACAAGACCTACTTATAAATGTAACAAGTCCTGAAAACTGTTATCTTAATTCTTCAAATCGCTCAGAAGTAACAGCTTTGTCACAAACTATTCCCATTCATCTCAATGAGGCACTAGCTACAAAATCTAAAGGACAAACCTTTGAAACCTTAACTGTCCTACTCACAACAGCAGCATAACCAAAGCAGTTACTGAAACTGAATTGCTTCCTACATTTCTAAAATTGTCCCCTACTGTAAGTTATATGATTCAATCATGTCATCCATACTGAAAAAACCTTCATTTCCTAATATTAATGTCAGAGCATCTCAAAGGTTGCCATCCAGTCTACAGACAACAATATACAATAATCTAAAAATACCACTACACAAATAACCATTTTAATAGAATGAAAGTGCCTCCAAAAAAATTCTAGTCTCAGTTTGTTCTCGTTGCAAAGCACAGAGGCAGCAACACATCTGAGAGATCACAGCTCAGAGCAACCTTTCAATCTCAAACTCGTCCATGATTATGCAGACCCAGGTCAAGTAAAGAGGGAATGTATACATTCCCAGAGGGCAATGCTGCCACCACCACCTGCTTCTAGCAAATCTTCACATTATGCTGCAGTTGGAAGCAGTTCTGGCAGTCACTCCCAGCAAACAGCAGGTCCTCTTGACTGCTTTGCTGTCAGAAGGAAGCAGTGCAGCACCGACTGTCTCCAAAGCCCTCCGAGGTCAGCTAGAACACAGTTTGTTAAGGGCAGGAGCTGGGCAGGCAGGGCAGCAACTCACAAGTGTCCCCCTCCTAAAGGCACCCAGGCTCCAGAAAGGGCTGCAGGTGCATCAATGTATTGAGCTGAAAACAGGCTGGAAGGGTCACTTCGAATGCCTTCACCTGAGAAGGCAGATGAAAAGGAAAGGAGGACAGTGCTCCAAATTAATTCCCCTACAACCTCTGAGTTAAAATAGCTGAGTTTGTGCTGCCAAGAGAAAGGCCAAGCAAGAGGAGAGGAAAGCAAGGTGGTGGCATGGAACAGGAATGTAATAAAAACTGTTACAACACCAGGAAGAAGATCTCAATCAAAAAGGCAAAGCGTGGGAGATCAGTGTGCTGGATCATGAATTTCAGAAATTCATACCTACAGCCTAGAGCTGTTTTATTACACATAAATCATTAGCTAGCCAGGTCAGTTTAGAACCTGCCCCACTGCTAGGAGCAGGAACCCATGACTTCTGATTTAAAAAGTCCATGTTTACCCTACCTTGACTGGTTTTAGAAAAGTGTATAGAAGAAAGGAGCCAAGATGAGGAACAAGGTGGTAAAAGATGGAAAACCAGAAAAAGCTAAGAGCTGACATACACACTGGCCTTAGTGATAATTTAGTCTTCAACAGACTGGCAACAGGAAGGATTAGACAGAATGAATGCTTGGTGAAAGATTGGTCAAGATCCCAAAAGAGGTTTAGAAAAGTAATTTCTGACAGTTCCTGTCTTTCCAGTCAGGGGCTATCAGCTGGGAGATGGAGGGACAAGGAACACCCCAAAGCTACAACAGCTTCCCAAGTCAGGAACCAGGAAAGGTAGAACTAAACAGCAGAACAGAGGTGGTTAAGAGATAACAGGGGAGCAATGTGGATGAGAAACAGTGTGTCTGTACCAGTGGAGACAAGCATTCTCCAACAAACAATGCAGAATTGTTCTTTCCAAGTCAAAGTCGAGTGTCTTTCCTAAAACACACACTGTTTGAGACTGGGATTTACCTGGGGACATCAGGGACCATGCCAGGTAGGGGATCAGATCAGGTGTTGGTTTGTTTTACTACAGTGGGCAAGGAAGGGAGCAGACAGAAGACAGTAATTCCTTTTAAATTTTAAGTCACATCTGCTCTTAAGTGGTCTCTGCTTTTGAGAACATAGAGGGCTGATCCTCCAGCCTGGGTAAATGATTTCTCACAGGGCAGTTGTTCTTTCACCTCTCTCACCCACCTGCATTGCTATTCACAGTTTCCTACCCATTTTCTCACCCCAGCAAGTTGAGGTTCGTGGCCTTTAATGCCATCAATAGTGTTTGCAGAAAAACAGTTTTGGAACTCAGGCTTACACATTTCCAATGCTATCACTGCCACTGAATTAGATACATAATATTTTAAATGGTCCTAGACTATAAAAAACAGGTCCATATCAAATGAACCAGTGCATAACCTGGTTAAGCTCAGCAGGCAAATTCCCCAGCCAGGATGCTCAAGGAGCAGAGACACAGCACTGTTCTGAGACCTGCTGCTGGGGGGAAGAGAGGTGCTCTCTCACACACTACCCCAGCACTGTGCAGATCTGCAGCACAGCCAAGAAAAATGGACCATGTTAAGCACATATGTCTGTAGCAGTGCAGAACCAGGCCCCAAAGCACGGATGTGTCCATGGAAGGCTGCAGGATCAGGCCCCAGTCAGTCAGTATCACATTCATTCTCACAACATGGGTTTGTTTTGCAAACTTAGATTGCTCGGAGGCTACAAAGCAGATGCTGTCCTCCAAGTACCCTGAGAATTTACAGAAACACAGCGGTTTTGGGGGGTTGGGGTTTTTTTCCCAATAACACGTGATGTTTACACCCAGAGGCATTTTGTTCTCTGTGTTCTCCTCTGTTCACACAAGTGTTTCTTGTCAGTACTGCTTATTCTAAGATGGTAAAACCAAGGCACTGTTCCCAGCTCCCTAGAAGCCTGGTTCTCACCACCATTCCCATTCAGAGATGCCCGTTTTCCAGCTCCTCCAAGGCATCCAGAAGGGCTCCTCTACACCTTAGCACAAGGACTCTGCTCTGCAGACCAGTCACTAATCATCTGATTACTGGAGCATTTCTAATTGCATTCAGGTTACAGTAAAATCTGGAAAAGTGCAGCAATAGTGAGAACTGTCATTTAGGGAGCTGTGCAGCAGATTAAAGAGCAAACTCAGTGCAGGGGGGCTGAAAGGGCTCTGATCAGAATGGACTATGACCAGAATGCCCAAGAAAAGTGGCCTGGTACCAGAGATCACTGTATTCTTTGGCACAGGGAGCAGTTTGAAAATATTCCTTCTAGGAGATGTGAACTGGAAAATAAAAATGAGGGGAAACCTACCCAATTCCACCCAGGTCATCAGCTACCCTACCTTCTTTGACTAGAGCATGGATAGAAATAAGAGCAGGACAGTTCTGAGAACCTACAGAAGGGAAAGAAAGTAAAATGAAAATTTAGCTAAATATTCACTCTAATTCACTCTAACTAAATATTGACATATTTAGCTAAATATGTCAATCCTCCTACTCCTACCTCAGTAGGAATTAAGCATTAGAAAGCAAAAGAGAATGTTCTGTAATTACTAAAATTTGGTATGAAGATTAAATAAACAGTCATGGAAACTGCTGGCTTATGGAACCAAAGATCACAAGACAGATTTTTACCTTCCATAAACTTCTGAAGTTCAGTATCCTCACATACAATGTGTTTCAAGAGAAAACTAAGAGGGCACTCTCGGAGGGAAAAAGATCCACTTCCTCTAGATGTTTGTAAACGTGCATTACATACTGAAATAGTCTAATTCAGAGAAAGGTCAAAAGTGATAGGAAACCAAAACTGACTAAATACCCCCTGTATAATCATGATTTGCAGAATATGGATGTATTTTTAAATCCTCTGCTGCTCCTCACCACCTTCTTTAAGCAGGTGGTACACATTATTAACTCTATTTTATATAAACCCCAGGTGAACTATAAACATCCAGTATTTATAAAATTTATGGATTTGAGTGGTCGGTGTCTTTTCAAAAGACATTCAGCACCTCTGGCAAATTCAGCAAGCTCTGAGGTTTAAAAGGAACCAAAGGAGCCCAACATGTCAAATACCTGCAGGAACCCATTCTGCTTCCCACATTTGCAATTCCACCTTAACTCCCATATGCCTGCTGTCCTATTTTCTTATTTGGTTACTAATAAAAATGGCACTGCTCAGGCAGACTAGACTGCAAATTACGTCACAGTGTATTTTCTGTATTGGTCCCCTGCCCTCCTTTTACCTGATCCTTACATAAACAGCCTCAGCCTCCCTGAAGCAGCTCTGCCCTGAATACTGTCATTCTGTTTAACTGGACATGGTGGGTGCAGACAGCAGACATTTCCAGAGCCAGGGAAGTCTGAAAGGGCTACTAGCTTAACTACAGCATTCCTTTAAAATGCATAAATATGTCAGAGAAATAACAGAATAAACATTATCTCCATAGTACTACTGTTAGTAGTATTCACAATAGTATTGTTAAGTTATTATACTCTGCTGAAAAGTTACAAAATCTGATATAATCAGACAAAACCCAGTTTCTTTTCAGATACAGTATGCTAAGCCCATCCCACTCAGCCCCAAAGAATTAAACCATGTGACTCCAATGTACATTTAGGAAGGTAAAGTATGAAAGTTATATTTAAACAACTAAGCAGGGAAAATTTGAGAAGTACTCAGATTTTTAAACTTAATCTTTTTTAACAAAGTATTACCACAAACAGTGGTAAATTCCTCTCCAGGCTCCTGACTTAATCTTCTCTGGATTGCAATGTATAAGCCCTCCTTTGTTGGCTGCAGTATTTCAACCCCTGCTGATGTGTCAAAAACTGTGAGCGTTAGGCAAAATACAAACATGCTGCACTGTCTCCCCTCTGTTCCTTTTCCCTCCTTCCCAGCCCATGACAACGGACAGGATGGAGAGCAACAACACCAAGGCCAGCGCTCCCCTGCTGGCCCAGCGGCACCAGCGCATGGTGACCAAGGACGGGCACAGCACCCTGCAGCTGGACGGTGCCCGGGGCAGGGGCCTGGCCTATCTCCGCGACGCCTGGGGAATCCTCATGGACATGCGCTGGAGGTGGATGATGCTCGTCTTCGCCGCTTCCTTCGTCCTCCACTGGCTGGTCTTTGCAGTGCTCTGGTACCTGCTGGCTGAGATGAACGGGGACCTGGAGCTGGACCACGATGCTCCCCCTGACAACCACACTATCTGCGTCAAGTACATCACCAGCTTTACAGCTGCTTTCTCCTTCTCCCTGGAGACACAGCTCACGATTGGTTACGGCACCATGTTCCCGAGCGGGGACTGTCCCAGTGCCATCGCACTGCTGGCAATCCAGATGGTCCTGGGGCTCATGCTGGAAGCCTTCATCACAGGTAAGCCTTCCCAGTCCATCCTTAAACAGAACAGGTGGAACAACTGGGTTTGAGGATGGAGCCAGAAATACTGATCATTTGGATATACGAAAGAACAACTAAGGCAGTCACTACAAGGATGGTGAGGTTCCAGCTATGTAGTACTAAAACACCTTTCATTAACAAAAGGCATAAATTAGCTGATATCAAGATCTGGACTTGATAGTTCCGGTATTCATTGGACAATACTTGTGGCAAATCCCTGCTTATCACTCTCAATCACGTATTTCTTATACCATTATCTCTCCAAGTTTTTTCCATATAATTACAATATTTTAAAAGACTATTTGTTTTGATTTTTAAGGCAAACTTTTTTCTAGCTGAACTATTTTCGTAGTTGAAACTGAAGTTGATCTTCAACTCAGTGTTCAAGTATTCCTCAGTAGCCAATGTAATGAAGATGTTACAGTGTCACAGCTATTCTGAAGTATTTTCAGTTATTTTAAATAATTTTCAGGTTTAAAGTCATTCAAAATACTTTAAAAATACATAGGTTAGTTTACTGTGTACTAGAAAGAGCTTCTATGGTGTAACACACCGAGATCAGGTACTATTCCAAAGTACAGTAACTCAGAGCAAGCTGACAGCTCTTCTTACAGCTCCAGATCCCTTCCCAATATAACACAGCTTAGGAAAAGCAGCATTTCAGATAACTCTACTCTTTTAAACCCAAGTGGGTTAGTGCAGTGCCAGCCCAGCAGTTCTCAAACACAGTCCTTCCAGCCTGCATGTCCCCCCAGGCCTGCTCCTGCTCCCTTGGCTGTCTGGAGGAGCTGGGAGCTGCAGGAAGCCCCCAGGCCCTGTGCTGGCCCTGAGCTTGTTCTCTCCCGTGATCCAGGTGCGTTCGTGGCCAAGATCGCCCGCCCGAAGAACCGGGCATTCTCCATCCGCTTCACGCGCTCTGCCGTGGTGACACATCCCGAGGGGAAGCCACATCTCATGTTCCAGGTGGCCAACACTCGCTCCAGCCCCCTGACCAGCGTCCAGATCTCTGCTATCCTATACCAAGAGCAGGAGAACGGGCAGCTGCACCAAACGAGCGTCGACTTCCACCTCGACAGCGTTACTGCGGCCGAGTGTCCTTTCTTCATCTTCCCGCTGACCTACTACCATTCCATCTCTCCATCCAGCCCTCTGGCTGCCCTCCTCCAGAGAGAAGCTCCTCATCACTTTGAGCTGGTCGTCTTCCTGTCAGCTGTGCAGGAGGGCACGGGAGAAACGTGTCAAAGGAGAACATCCTACCTGCCCTCCGAGATCCTGCTGTCCCACCGCTTCGCCCCCGTGCTGGCCCGCAGTGCCCAAGGCGAGTACCACATCCAGATGGAGAACTTTGACAAGACTATTCCTGAGCTCCCGGCTGCAGCTGGCTCCAAGAGCCCCAGGAGGACTGACAAGGAGATCCGCATCAATGGGCAGCATGCCGACAGCTTCCAGCTCTCCGAGACTGGCCTCACAGAATAGAGAGAACAGACTGTGGACTTGGGGCTTTTTTTAATTATTATTACATTAAACTTTCAGGTTCCATTTACAACCTTCCCTCCTTGCCTGCCCTGCCATCTTCTAGTGATCCTTCTCTTGTACTTCCATCCTTTTGATTACAACAGTGACACAGTGAAGAGAACGAGAGTGCCCCGAGAGGCTGGATGAGCCACCCAGGATGAAGTCAGGTACAAGAACCACAGAACTAACATCAGAAGAGCGACTTGCTGAATTCCCCAGACTGTGATTAAAGCCACACTGACCCCAAAAGGAGAGATCTTCAAAACTCCCAAAGATGACCAAAATCATACTTAATCAGCTTGTGACAAAATGGACAACAATACAAAAGCAGAAAACAATATGGGGTCACTCAGTAAATGCATTAGTTCTGCTTTAAGTAACTCTGTTCATCCAAGATACCAGTTTTTCTGTTCTCCTAAGTCTTTGGGAATACAGTTACATCACTTTTCAGAGGGCTGAATTCACTCTCAGAAAGCCCTGCCAATCTCTCGTGGCAGTGAAAAGCACTCCTGCTGTGCTTATTAAGCAAAACTGTAAATACTAAGTGCAGTTCTTCATTCTGCCAAGTAAAAGAACATCTCGTTTCCAGACAGATCTATGAAGACACTATCAAAAAATCTTGATATATATGACAAATGCTGCAGTGGAAATTTTTTCGTATTTGGAAACACTGAATAAATTATTTAGCAGTGGCAAACAGACTATTTTTAATGAATGAATGTACTTTTTTTTAAAGACCCATACATTGCCCATACTGTCACTGCTTGTCTGCAGTACATCTGACCCAGAAGGATGCACTATATCTAGGAGAAGTAGAACCACATCCATTTATATTTTATGCTTTTTAACATCAATATTTGCCTGTACACACAGCACAAAAATATTTAGAGACACTTGGATCAATTTTGAAATAAAAAATTAAAACAAACCATACGTGAGACTTCTGTATTTAAGTGCCTCATAAACCTGCTGCAATTAAGACACTGTTCTGAAGCTCCTAAATAATTTAAGATGCTAAAGGAAAAACAGAATCATGAATAATTATTTCCAAGCTCTCGACAAAAGCAGTGCCTGTCAGGTGTCCAAAACCAGGCCTGTTAGGTACCTGGTCAGTCAAGTATTAAAATAAAGCTACCTTTCAAAGCTAGAAGACTTTTCCCAGAAACCCAGATGGCATAAATAGCAACTTTCATTGACAAGAGCACAACACACTAACAAATATGCCTCCTTTTAACTTCCCCAAGTGGTCAGCAGCAGGAAAAACAGGCACAAGCTGTCTGAGGAGGTTCTGTTTAACTCAACTCTTCTCAAGTCCCAAAAGGGGCAAGGAGGAAGCTCCTGGTGCAGGGTCTGGGGATGGGGAGCAGCCCCCCAGCCCCATTGCACAGGCAGGGCAATGAGGCAGAAGGGCTGTGCTTCTGCTGCAACTGAGCTCTCACTCCAAAGCTGTTCAAGCACTGCCTCCCCCACTGCAGACCTCAGGCAGAGCTGGGTTATCACACGCTCTCAAAATCTTTTTCAAATTTAACTTTATGGACAAGAATTCATGAAGACTGTGGAGCTCAGAGAGCAGCACACCACCAAGTTACCCTGCCTTCATCCCTGCTTTTCTGAGCTGTTGGCCCACATACAATTTAAAGGTCCCTTTTCCAGCCTCATGTCAGCACCAATAACTTTTAACCATTTCTTAAAAGTGTTTTTTCCACATTCACGACCAATATAAGACATTGGTAAGAGTCCTACAAATTAAAACCCAGTGCAAGAGCACAGAACAGATCCCTGTGTGAAGTCTGAACTAACCACTTAGAGCAGCATTCTGGGTGAGGTATTGAGAATATTCTGTTTGACAGCATTCTGGGTGAGGTACTGTTTTTCCCATATATCACATACTCTGGTCTCAGACAAACCAATTGTTCTCAAATTCACATGTATAATCCCAACAGGACAGGATTATAATCTCATGATTTAGAGCCAAAGCTATAAAAAGCTGTTTCTAACTTCAATTAACATCTAATCAAAGTGCAGGCTGCTTCATTTGATTTCTGAATTATGTGATACTTAAAAGTTATCCTGTTTTTAAAATAATTTTCTATTTACAGACTTGGTTTAAAAGGGGGTACAACAGCAAGTATAAAGAAAAAATATGTTTAGTACACGCTACGTGGAATCTTCAAATATTTCATTTTGGAATGTAAAGCTGAATAATACTAAGGAAGCAAATCAGACAAAGAACTTTGTAGTTACTTCAGAACAGCTGCAGAACAAGGGGTAGAAAAAAACAATGATATTGCTTTTACAGTTCCAGAGAACTGGTGAACCACGGATGTCTGAAAGCACTGGAAACGTGCCATGGCCCAAACTGGAAGAGGAGCCCAGGAAAGGGGCTGATGGGCTCTGGTGCCACAACACAGCACCCTGTGCTTCAGCACTGCAAGAGCAGACTGGGGCCCAACCTTCATGGATGCACCTCCTGCCACGAGGCAGGCAGGAAAACAAACCAGGCAGAGCAAGGGCAAGTGCAATTCAAAGAAACCCAGCACCCTTTTCTTGTAGCCACTTCAACACACATTTTATATTCGAGTCTTGTTAACCTAACCAAACCCCACACAGAACTCAATCAGGCTCCACAACTGACTTGCTAGAAGTTCTGTTTAATCTACATAACAATTCTTTACTACCAGTGTGTAACTGCTGGTAACTAATCAAATCCCCTCAGCTGCTAAGCTGGTATTAGTCGAGAGGCTGCACGGAAAATTAAGCAGCTTTTGTGCAGAGACAGACGTGCTCAAGAAAACAACTTGCTCATTTTCTTTGCTAACGGCCTGGGCCTTCCAGAAACCATTTGGGTTCTCAGTGAAGAGCGTCAGAACTGTGACAATCTGCAACAGCAACTCCCAAATACTTTGTGCATCCCCAATTTGCAAACTGAAACCAGGGACAGATACTGTCTATGCTGAGAATCAGTCAAATGTGACCTTGCAAACTACTGTGAGCACTGAAAAAGCAATCAATAATTTTTAAGAACAGCATACTGATAATTTTTGAGAAGTAATTCTTTGTTGAAGGTCTATCACTTTTTTCATCCCATGATTTTTAATCGAGAGGTTCTTGCCTTGGCATCCATTATGAACGTCCAGAAGACTTTAATATTTGATCTCTTATTCTGTAGTGTGATCATCCACAACAAAGGACATGAAAAAAATTGGCAACTCAGTAAATTATGTAATCTGAGGCTAATCCAAGGCCCTGTGAAGGACCAATGAAAACCTGAAGCACAGTAAAATCAGATAATAAAATCCTAAACTAAGGAGTTTAACCAGAGTACCAGAATCCAAGGCACCTGCTAAAGCACATCAGCCTGAATTCCAGGTTGCATGTCAGTGCCCTCCCTGAGTGTGGGCACCAGTGCTTGTATTCACTGGGACTTCTGGTGGCACATCTGTAACCCTCCTCACACTCAAAATATCATTGGAAAGCCTTTACAGAACAGTAAGTATTTGTAATTAACCAAGGCTTGAGTCAAACAGACCAGCACTTTGTTAATATTTCTGTGCTCTCCACCTTATTTCTCTCTGAAGGTAGAGGGGAGCAAAATGGTCTTCCAACCCATTGGGACATTAACCTCTAACACAGCAATACACAAACATAAATTACTGTTGTGAAAACAACATTTTTACAAAAAAAACTCCAGAAAGATTGCAGGGCTCCTTTCTGTATCATACTGAGCTACAGAGCCTTTAGTCACCTAAATCAGAGGAGAAGAGAAACAACACAAGATTTCAGAGGAGCAATCAGGTACCACAAAAAGCTTCCTAACTTAAGAATGAGCACGTCATCCCTCGCAATTAACTTCCAACAAATCACACAGGGACACCATCTCCAGGAAATGGTTCTTGGCAGATGCATTCCACAGTCCTGCTTCCTAGGAGTTGCTACAAACAAGACCTGCTCTGTCCCAGTTGCAGATAACCTCTGGCAGAGGTTAAGCTTCAGTAAGATTATGGTGCACACTGCAAATTCTTCTCCATTTCAACAGAGATACACCTCATCCTATACTGACGTGCAATATTTTTATCCATCTTTATCAGAAATGTAGTACATTCTGTAGTCTGGAGCTGGAAGTGCTGTAACTTTAATCACAAGAACAGGAAGGTGGGTACTACTTTTACACCTGCTTGTCTTCTGCAAAAATTGCAGTCCTGAAATCTCAGTAGTACTTAGTTTCTCCTGTTTTCTTTTTTTCCCCAGAAGTTCTCTAAATATACACATACAGAGTCCAAAGTTTCACTACTGGCATTTCAAAATGAACAATCTCAAACCAATCTCAAGTTATTTTTTGGAAGTATCCTCTTTTTAAAGGAAACAATGAGGAAAACATGTTTTGTGTTAACATTCAACTTAGCAAGCAGAAAAATAAAAGCACTCTTTAAAATCTATGAACATCAACTCCTACATGGAGATAGGACTGGGAGGGCTTTGAAAGCACAGATGATTATTTAAGACTCCTATGGCATGTGCCACCATGCACATCTGGAAAATTATTCATATGGCAATTTATGCTACTCTTGTTAAAAATACTGTCAGCTAAGCAAGGACTAAAATACAGTCCTGTCACCTTTCCATTGTCTGTCTTTACATCCAACCTGCAGTTGTCTGTCCTGATCTGTGCTTCATCAGTATGTTCACCAAAGAGGGACTCAGCCTTCAGCCAAGACCAAGAGATTCTCTGGGTCCCAGACAGACAAGCTCTTACTGTACAAAACCTGTCACCAGGCACAGCTGAGCTCCATGCTCATGGAAACATCCATGGAGAAGGAACAGAGTCCCCCCAGAGAACACTCAATGCATGAGCCCACAAAGCAAAAGTCACTGCCATGACCAGAGAGCCACAGCCTCCTTCAGTGTCCTCCCCACTCTCCAAACACAGGTTTTACCCAAATGTCTGTGTTCCATCCCCAAGATGACAGCCCCGCTCCAGCTCAAGCTGAACATTCAAACAGAAGCACAGGGCCACAGTTAAGGATCCAGCATTCTGCCTGAACATGGCCAACGTGAAGCATTTCAGAAACAGGAGAGGAGAGGAACAGCAGACAGGGGACCAGGTGATAACCTGCATGAACAGGAGGTTCATGTGATGACTTACACTGACTTGATACCCAGTAAATCCACCAGCACGGGAGCTGCTGCCGGGATCTCCCTCACGCTGGCAAGCATTCAGAAAAATTAACTGTTCACAAGGTCAACAAGTCCTGGGTGCCAAAACAGCCCACACCAGGCACGTTTCAAAGCTGCCCTGAAAAGGGCTGTTGTCACAGCACATCTGTTCACCAGTACAGCCCCTTTCCCCAGAGGTACAGGAGTTTAGTTCCAGCTGTAGACTTCATCTTCATTGAACAAACAGAACCTACTCACTGCAGATTTTTCTTATCTACAACATTCAAATGTCCAGTAGTGAAAACAACACAAAATAGGAGAACCAGCACTTTGAGAACACACTTAGATAACCTGGCACAGTATCATGAATCTTGTATCAACAGTATACTTGGAGCAATAAGAAAGGTTTATGTATGTACAGATCCCTTCCCCAAACACACCCTGCTCCTCCCTCCCACTTTCTGCCCACACAGTAACAAAACCATACCTGGATCTTTTCGCCCTGGTTTTTCAAAGCGTCTGTCTCCCCTAGAAAGGCAGAATAGAAGTTTCAAATAAGGTTTTGGAACTGCTCCACTCATTTTAGGTATGGGTCTTGTTTGGCTTTGGTTTGTTGGTTTTTTTTTGGAGGGGACTTTCTTAAAATCAGAGCTTGATGGACAGTATCTTTAGAGGTCCAAGTGACAAGTGAAATTTTCAGGAACACTAATACACACAGCCTTTGGCAACTGGGTATGTTTTGAAAAGTGCCCCTAAATGCTGTCAGCAAC